CAGGGTGCACCACGTGGAGGTAAGTCTATCGCGCATCCCACCATGGCATTATTATTGAAAAGGTTAAAATTCATGTTTATGCATCAGAGTGTTCAAGGGAGAATTCAAACGGATAGATAGTGCCTTTAATTAATGTATATGATTACTGATAGGAAGGCGAAACAATATTTTGAAATAACTGCAAGTTATCGCCTTCTCCACTCCTTGACAAGACACATCCTTTATCAAATAGCCTGTTACCTGGCCAATCACATTCCACCAAATCGGAGATGGAAGCTCAATAATTCGTTCAAACTTCTCGAGCTAGACACATCCTGACCCTATCTAACTCTTACAGCATAAACAGGATCCAAGCTGCCTCCATAATTCCCATCTGTTCCGATCTGGATACTAGCCAATCTTCTCGAGCCAGTCATCATCTTCTCTTCCTCTGGAGACAGACCAACTGCAACATCCTTCATGACTGTGGAAATAATCGTAATCTAGATAAAATTCGCCATTTATCACTAAGTGAGAAAAGATGTTTTTTGGTGTCTGCAATAGCTTTTACTATTTGGGAAAAATTGGTCCATCTTGTTGCACATGGCGAGTTCCAAAATCGATAAGGGGTTAGTAATAATGTTCCATTCGGGTTCCCTAGCATTAAAGGATTGTTAAATTATATATATATATATATATATATATATATATGCACTTTTTCAGACATTTTAATTCTGCCTTTTGTGTTAAAAACAGGCATAGGGGAAATAGAATAAAAACCTTTATTTCACTCTTCTGCTTGACTAGTTGCACCTAATAAATCTTCTGACACAGGAAACCATCCCACACTCACTTAGCAAAGTTTTTTTTTTACGAAAAAAATTTCATGAAAATCAAGTAAAAAGCAATGGTTACCAGAGTGGTAAAACAAATCAGTCTACTTTAACCTTTAAATAGGATATGAATTCTTGACCAAAAAATATTAACTCATTTTTAACGCTATGGCCAATGTGCATATTTAATTTCTGTTCTGTTCAGCGATACATAATAGAAGTCAATGCTGCCATGAATAAAGGGAAGAAGTGGAGGGAGAATTTTTTAAGATATCGATACTCCCCCCCCCCCAAAAAAAATATCAATCAATAAAAAATTTATTTAGTAAATCTTAAACTAACTTAATACCAGTATTTTCGGTCTTGAAATAATTTACCAACTCATTTCTTTATATGAAGGGGAGTGCGATTGACTTACCTCCACGTGGTGCACCCTGAGCAACGTATACTCAAACGGCAAAATAGTCTATTAACCGGCAGTTGACTTCTGACTCCAAACTACCATCACCCTACGGTATGTCATATTCGACATATTTCACAGGGCTCATCTTACCTTTTCTCTGTCTTTGTGTCTGTCTGTCTGTCTCTTTCACATCTGTGAATCACTCTTCCGTCCCCCGCTCTCTCGAAGTTTTCTAACCTTGATGCTCCTCCCCTCTGTGAAGCCCGAAGTCAGATAAAAAGCTAATGTTAATAATCAAAACGTCTGCCAATTGATATGAAACTTCTTTACAATGAAAACGCTAGAAACGGACAAAAAAGTTACGTCAAAAACGGGCATATTGATATTGGCATAGTAGACAGCCTAGATGCCAATTAGTGCTTAATATGAATAACCCTCCAATATATATTAAGCATTTAAACCTTGGAAATAAAATAAAGTTTATTAGTAAACTTTTTCTGCATCTATCACAATAACCTGGCCAAATGCACTGGAATATTTCGAAATTTCGAAGGTCTACATGTGTTGGGTCACGAACACATAGGTAGTTAATTATTTATTTCACCCACGTGAATATGGCTTTATATCATAGAGACGGAATAAAAAAAATAGCACTATCCTCTTTCAAATAGCAAGACGCTGCATACGATAAAATAGTTTTAAAACTGTTTGTTCATGAACAGTTTTCGTACACCTACAGGATTTGAAGTAGAAAAGTAGCTAATCATTAATGTTTGAAATTATTCAGCAAAAGGACAGCGCAAACGCGAGATTTCTGTGCGCATTTTGCGAACTTTCTTTCCTTTTCCATTAATTCATTATCATCCCTATTTTCTTTTATTTTGCTTCGAAATTTCATTCCAAGGAGAGAGGGAGGTGAATTGAGTACGCTTTTGCCCGATTTGTCCACTCATGAGAAGCTTAAGGATAGCCAATCAAAGCAGACAAAATAAATGGCCAAAATCTATTCAATGAATAAGAGATAAGGCCGCTTTTGAAAGTAAGAACATTCTTCAAGAAATGCGTCAAACACGCAACTCCGAAGTACCCTTTATTTTCACTTGCTCAATTACATTCCAGACGATTGGGAGTCTGCCCTGACAAATCTGGAAAGTGCTGCCTACTTCTTCTGTGTGAGCCGTTGGGATCACTTATTGATTAGGCTACATATCAGTCATTAAATTTAAATTATCCAAAGGAGTGAGAAGTAAAATCAGAAGCCTATCTTCATGTCTGTGTCTCCTAAAAAGCCTAAAGCGAAAAGTTAGCAAAATATCGATTTTCTTAGTCTTCGGACTGAGAGTTAGAAAAATAAGATATAATTGTTTAATTTGGAACCTTAATTATAACATAAATTACATTTTGGGAAAACATAGTATCTTTGAATAGATTAATAAAATCGCTATTTTTTGGTTAAATGGTAATAATTTATTTATAAATAGAAATAAATAAGTCCAGCAGGCAATTTGATTAATTTATTAATTAATAAGTAAGATGTCTGTCATGAACAAAGATCGTTTGATTTGTCAAAAATTCAGATACAATCGAAGAAGGAGAAGAAGGCGGGTGGAGGAGAAGGAGCAAAGGATTGAAAAGAAAAAACGACAGGTGTTCAGATCTGTTTATCAGAATCATCGAACACACGGAGTTATTTTCTAAAGCAAGTCTGACCGAACTATAAATGATTGACTTTATATTATACAATAAAGTGGATATTGACTTTACAGAAATGAATAAAAATCTTGATTCAACAGGAGAGTAGGTAGTGCTTTTTTTTCTAAAATGTGCAAAGAAGGAAGGGGGGATGGAAAGAGGGTGAAGAATTTTATTCATGTTCAAAATTTGACATCCGGATCAAAAATGCGAAACGCGAGTTTCTGTCGGTGATATAGGTCATGCGAGTCAAGTCAAAATATATTTTAGATGTGTATGAAAGAATTCACGAGAAGGTGGGTCTAAGAATGTTTTTTTTTTGTTTTAATTCCTTTAAGATGTCGGCGCGTAATCCACTTCATAGTAATCACTTGTGTATTTTCGGACGATACAACACATGATGATTGAGAATAGGAGGCCGAAGATCTAATGAAAAAAATAAAAGCTTGAATTAATTATCATGATAGTAAACAGTTCAACACTTGTGAACGAGATTGCTATGGTCAACATTTACGCTACGGCCAAAGAAATATATCTGATTTGATTGGTTAGCTACATTGCGTCATCAAACACTTAGATGATCAATGAAAATGTCGGAAGACGCGCGACCAAGGCAAAGGCTAGGTCCCTTTCATATAAAACATTAACGTCTGCGGCAAGATTTATTAATTGCAGGCCTCAATTATGATTTCAGGGGGTAAAAAAAGATTAAAAACTCTTACGCCCTTAAGCGAGGAGGCCAAAAATATAAATGGGGGTTAGAAACACAACTGTCATAATAGCAGAAATACCTGAGTTCCAAAACGCCCGTAATTATAACTATGGCACATCGAAAACCGTTCTATTTCAAAGCCGAAACAAACAGCCTAATTGTGGAAGATAGAGGTGTTTTTTCATACTAAAAATTAGCCATTCAATGGCTAAACAACATTGATTTCAATTATTCTGATACAGAAGCGGAATGGTCGTATTTTGAGGACCAAATTTTTGACAATAAATTTTCACTATTTAAACTCTCGTGGTTAAATAATCATATTGAAACAACAGGTTTTTGTTAATGAGCCATACTTCTTGACATTAAATAGACATAATTTCGAACTTTTAAAAATTCACATTTGTTATATAGGAAATTGCGTTATATTATATATAAAATACAATTAAAATACCAAAATGCCCAAAATGTCCGCCCATGTACTCGAGTATTACGATTTTATGAAAAAAATGTAATTAGAATGCTGTAGAGCTCCTTTCCACAAAAAATAAGAGCTTGTTAACTGTTACTAACAGACTGGCATAATTGAAATAGCGCAAAGTGCCCTCGTGATACACAGCATGCACGTCTGACATTCTGGAGATAATAAATTCAACAACCAAATGTACGAATCCAATGATTACAAGTAAATACCAACTAAACTGGGAATTGCCTAGTTGAATTGGGATGTGGACAGCTGTACAAGTACCAAACAGCCTCATTTCGGGCATGTGAACAGAAGTAGGCATGTTCGGATTCTCTAATTCAATTTAACGGGGAATCAACTTTAAACACTATGAGCATGAATAACCCCTAAGGAAACAATGGGTGAAGTGATAGGTGCCGAATCTAGATGTGGCAAAAAATGGTCTTTTTTAATTCTATTAATTTTGCCATGATAGTTCGTATTAAAAAATATTGTCTAATTTTTTTTTCTGTAAGGCGTAGATACCTATTAATGAGACAAGACTTTCAACCAAGTTTGCACTTCTTTGCTTAAAGATACTAATCTTTATTAGATCAAGCTAAAAAGGAAGTTTATCCGCGGAAGCTTCGAAGCACACTGCCCGCATGGACCAATAAAACATCTACCGAAGCGGAACCATAAAAAACGTGGATTATTTTGTTTAAATATTTGACAAAAAAAGATTTATATATATATATAGATGATGATCCCGTTAAGTCATCAAAACAGTATGAATTTGAGTTTTGCTAAAGTGACATAAGTTAATTCAGCGATTTTAGATTGATTGAACAAATTGTCGCCGAGGGTATTTAACTACAAAAGTTAAATCAACCCCCAATTGCCTCATTCCCCTTCAGGCGTTAAACAAGGCAATATCGAGTTGAATAATTCAAATGTAGCAAACATAGCGTGAATTTCATTCTCCACCGGTCCCCNCCCCCCCCCCCCCCCCCCCCCCTCCTACCAACCAATAGGAGTAAAATAGTGGAAAAGTTTGTTCTTACCTCGAAGAAGGAGATTGCAAAGACAACTAGGAAGAGAATGTGCAAGAAATTCACTCCGCCTTCCTTATATTTGTCCAAACAGCCCTATTAAATAGAATAAAAATATAATAATTAATTTGGGCAATGCTCCATCGAAATGTTGTGGAATAAATGTGCGACGCCTTACATCTCTGTATATTTCATCCTCCCTCAAATCTGCGGAGTTGCAAGAGCTTCGTGAAGCGATGCAGCAAGATATGGGGACCTTTCCATTGTAGTCTCTATAGCTGCGTACGCCACAACACTCAAACTGGAAAAGGGACATAAAAAAATAACCATTGAAAAAAATACTTGATTTGCCAACCAATGGAGGTGAGCTCATTTTTGTAAATTTTTACAAGGGGTAATCAAAAGCATTAAAAATAGCTAATTACTCCTTTAATAAAACTTATTTTTTTTAAGAATTCAGCTAAGCAACCACCCTTTCCCATACGATAGAAAAAAGGAGGTAAATACAGTAGTAGAATAATTATCTTAGAAAAAGAGGATAAGGTGGATAATCATTACTGCAATCAATAAGAGAATATGAGGACCATACAGAAGAAGCAAAAGAAGGACGCGTTATTGCACGGTATAAAGACTGAGAGGTGAGACATGTAATGAGCATAGAGTGAGAATAGATGTGCAGCCAATATACGAGTAGTATTAACCAACTAGTACTCAACTTTTCATTTTCAATACATATATTCTTTTGTGGAACTTTTATAAAGATTGGTTTAGATTAATTAGAAAAATTTGTCATCCGTGAGATCACTGGCCAATTCCAATCATCTTGCAATGCGCATGAGTGCTGAGGTGAAGGAATGCCTTGAATTAAGGAGAAGGGGGGGGGGNGGGGAGGGAGAGAGCGGGGAGGAGGGGGTGGCCAGATTTCCAGCCTCATGTATTGACAACTAGAGAACGATGGAAATTGGCATTCATCATGGTGTTCCCGAAATTGAAGCCCGAGAAATTTCCTTTTTTGGCATGTCAATAGGTTTAAAAGGCAACTTCCCAAACATAACAATATTTAGACACAATTCTCCGATCTCTAGTTGGGAATCTCAGTCAAATCAGACATTATTTCAGTATATTTTGATCCTTCTGAAAGGTAGGTTTTGATATCAATCCTTAGAATTTAAGTACGATTTATTATATGTACTTTTCAGAATTTTTGGTGTAAATTTTACTTCCCAGAATTGCGTGAAAGCAAATTCTAGTCATAGGAGATAAAAGAATTTGAATGGAATAGAAGTTGGGAATCTATTTTTCATTCGACTTTGGGGATTATGGACGCACAGTACTAGCCTACTGATTAGTTCTCGTGACAAAATTAAAATTTTATTATATGCCACCCGCCTTCTTGATTAAATTTAAGTCCACAAAGTCCAACGTCTATTGATTGGTTAATTAATTAGTATGGAAGGACATATCCCCCTACCAACACATTTTTCTCCGCTTTCTTGCCACAGTGGGGGGGGGGGATTAGTTCAAATGGAAAGTGGAACTAAAACCTTTCGAAAACTGCTTACTGACCGTAATCCGCACGGCAGGACCAATATTTCCCAGTGGAATGTTAGCTTTCAAATGCAACTGAGGTGAATTTCGTGCAATTAGTTAGTGCGCGTTGGTCGTGGAAGTGTTCCTAAGGTAAATCACTCTTCCTAATGGGTAATGTGACATATTTGCAAACTCTGTGCTTAGTTTTTAACCCCCACCCATTAAATATGCGTGGTTTGGCAGTTCAAAGTCAATTAAATCCTGCAAGCATTGCAAAAGCATGGAGACATTTCACTAAAATTCAAACAAAGATTTGATTTAGCAACTTGAGCAACTTGGAACGAATTCATTTAAAATCACATTCTTGCCTGAATTTCAGTTGGCAATTCAAATAGGAAATACAAAATGCTCTTCTTAATAAATTTTCAGAGACCCGATGAAGATTCGATGAACTGGGCTTAAATGAAATGAAGGCAGTGAAATTTTAAGAACACAACTATTTCAGAAGAAGTCATTCAACAAATGTCCCATAGGCATAGCAACTATTCATACCTTTGAAACTGCCATTTGTCCCCCAGCTAAACTGGGCTCATGTTGCTAATGTATCCATAGCATGGTCCTTTCCCACATCCGCTATTAAATCCCTAACACAACTTTTCCCGTGAATGTTTATACGCCGACTTGAATTACCACTGCTGTGAGTGTGTGAGCTAAGACCCTAAAAGTAACAAGATTTTTCAATCTTTCTCACAGGCAGTAACTAAAAATTAGGCATAATCCAATCTTCCAAAACATGCATCAAACACGCCATACAACTTGGCCTCGGTAGAATCTAACGCCTAAGAGAACCCGCATTTTCGTCATTTTTTCTTTCAAATCACTCCAAACAATTGATGACCCTGTTGAAGGTAACGCTGAGAATACCCATTCCGACTACAAAATATCAAATTTCGGAATTAGAAATAGTTCACATCATAAGGAGTCTGAAAACATGAAATTCGATCAAATATGAACGAGAAAGAAGAGCATTCTCAAGAATCGAATTTTGTCTGAATGGAAATGTTGTATACAATTTGCGACAAATAGAATATTGCCCATATACTATTCACAATGAAATGAAGTAATGAATACAATCTTTCAATATAAGTTTACATTACAATCGTTTCCTGGTCACGTCTTGTTGTGAATAACTTAGAAAGTCCCATTGTAGTTCGGGGGAGGGCAATGCGACTGCGCAAAGGAAAAAAACAAGACAGAGTTGGTAACAATATTTGTGCTAAAGGACAGGGAGAAGGTGACAACACTCTAAACGATAAGTTGATTAATTGATAAGTAGTGAGTAAAGCTCACGCTTCAGGCGTTAGTTATCTTAGAAAATCAATAAAATGCTTAAAGACTGACTCTGTGTCAAATCGAAAAGTAGACCACCAGGAACAGACATTGGTGATAATGGCATAAAGCTATTTAAATGGGGAGCGATTTAAAATTCATCAAATGGAAATTTCCGAATAGCCAAATCAGTAAGTCTAAATACTTTACAATTTTATACTTTGCGACACAATGGAACAATAGAAGTGGATCTCTTTTTTAAATAGTCAGCAAGCCACTTTTTACGACAAGGTGAGCATAACTTAAACACTACTATTTTGTTAAAAGGTGAGCCATAGGTACTGCTTTTGCTTACTGAGCTCTACTAATTTTGAATTCTAACCCATCTCGTCTTTGCTAGACCCGTAAACTGGGATTAGCATAGAAAGTCATTTGCCCCACTCGACCGCTTAAAGAAAAGAATAAACTGAGGCGAGAACACCGATCCTTCTTGATTAAATAATACCGGTCAATAAGCAATTAAGAGCGTTGACAACCGGTTGTTACTATCCAGGAGACGATTCGTGAAATTTAAATTACGGAACCTGAACTGCCCCTCTCCCCCCCCCCGCCCCCTATTTGGTAAATATCGTGAAACTACAGTTCAAAATCAAACGAGGTAAAACTCCTTGATACTGCTCTTTCAGCAAACGTTTTGCTCTTTAAAATTTGTTGGAATCATACCCTTGGAAGTCAAATGTTTTCTATAAGTAAAAACTGTAACAAAAAATTGTTTACCATTGTGGCTAACAATAGCAATAATAAATCATTCAGCAAAGATATTTAAATTTGTTAAATCTAAATTATTAAAGCAAAATTGACTTTAGGGCACTGAAAGAAGACTAAATTGATGGGACCAGATAAGCTCTATTATTCCAAATAGGCACATGAAAATGGCCCTCGAATGTATTGCGTTTACGTGTTGTAGATTGTCTATTCCCATAAAACAACCTTTTTCTGTGATTAAATTTCCCATGTGGAGGGTAAGGTTGGTTTTGGCTTCGAAGGATTTAGAATTACTGTCCTATAATGACTTCAACCCAACGATACCCGTTAACTGCGCTCAGAATATTGTAGTCAAGTGAGAATCGGCTTTATTGCCAAACTAATAATACACGTTCGCGTTGGATTTCAATTTGGGCAATAATAAAGAGATCAAATAATGGTACTTTGAGTTAAGTTAACTACTTTGGGATGATCTGATAAGTGGATACCAACACAAAAACCATCACAATTATGCAGTTATGAAACACACGTTGCGCCGAATAGAACTTTTGAAACGAACATAAAAAATATAACCTCCGGAAAAATCAGAAGTCCTTCAAGTAAGACATTCACATCTGCACTGAAAAACCTCGATCTGTGGTATTATTGAGGATTCAGACAATTGCCAATCACCTCAATTGAAGATTGTGTAATAACTATAGCATTTAAAAAAAATCGAGCGATAACAATCAATCAGTGATGATGGTCGTTCCTTTAAATGGATACCCACACAGAAGATCTGATAAATTTTGAATCCACAAAAAATTCATTTATCGAGAATGTTGGGTATGCAGGAGTCAAGCGGTTAAGCATCAGTTAGTAAGATAAACACCGTTTCTTTCTCTAAGCATAAGTCTGCGTCATTGCCATAACTGATGTAAACGAACTGATATACTTTCTCTCTCTCATTCAAATAAACCTGATGCTGGGAGCTAAGCATATCGGATTGTAGGCATTATATATTTTGTTTCTGAGCAAGCTAGTTGAGCATTTCCTGATAGTGTAATTTGAAATTTGGGGTTTTTTATCAGGTTAACCTCGTTGCGAATAAATGGAGTGGCTTATGGGGTAATTTTTTCGTATCCACGGGGGTGTCGATAGACTTACCTCCACGTGGTGCATCCAGGCCAACGTGTACTCATACGGCAAAAAAGTTCATTAACCGGCAGTTGACTTCTGACTTCAAACTACCATCACCCCACCGTACGTCATATTCGACTACTTCTACAGTACTCGCCTCACCTTTTTTCTACCTTTGCGTCTGTCTCTTTTACATCGCTGAAACACTTCTATTCCTCCCCCCC